ATGTTTAAGAGGTGAAGCTTTGCAAGACTATGGAGTTTGAGAATTTATAACCCTATAATTTATAACCCTATAAACCCTATAGTTTATTCTCTTTATTATCTATATCTGGTTGAAATGTGATTTCTCAGCTTCCTGCTCTAGTCACCTATTGCCATGCCACACATGACATTATATAGTCTCTCTCTATGGACTTGGCCTAAATCAATACTTTTTCCATAAGGCAGTTTTGGTCATGAAGTTTCATAATGGCAACAAAAATATCTAATATATAATAATAAATAAGTAATGTGATTTTATATGTTTTCCTTTTAAACTTTAGAATAGTAATTTAGTTGTGTGTGTGTGTGTGTGTGTGTGTGTGTCTTTGTGATGTATATGATGCAAGATTTATAAATGCTGCTGTACATATGTGGAGGTCTGAGGACAATTTTTGTGGAATCTGTTTTCTCTATCTTCATGTACCTAGTTTCAGAGGATTGAACTCAGGCCATCAGGCTTGAAACACAAGTTTCTTTACCCACTAAGCCATTTATCCCAGTGATCTTTCCTCAATTTTATTTAAAATAATGTTCAATAATTCTTAATGTTACCTTGAATATTTTAATCATTTCACACTAAATAATGTTAATGACTTTTTTCTTCATGTATTATGTAACCAATAAATATTTGATAGTTTAATAAGTTAAATAATAAATTAAATTTAGAGTATTTATTCTACAATTCTGAAAGTGTCTACCTAGTAAATGATGTTTACTATGCTAAATCACCGAGGAATTTTAAGACGACTATCTTTAGTAAACATGAGATCAAATTACTAGAGTCTAATGTTGGGTATGAGGATGTAAGTAGGACCCAGTGAAAACTTGAAAAGCTTTCCTTGAGAGAGAACATCTTATGGCTTCAGCTTCCAGACACAAATTACACCTAGTCTATAAGGACAGTCTCTAACCCTCTTTCTATTCATTCTCTGATTTATTTTTTTTTATACATTCCTTCTCAACCCCAGAATTATTTGCAATATCATGAGCTCATTGATAAAACATCCCATTAAATTGATAAATACATAAAACATAAAACAGATTTTTAAAAGAGTTTCTACACTTTCTGTTTTAATCTGAGCTGATTTGGAAGATAAAGTCATTGTGTATATATTCTGAACTACAACATTGTCCTATATTCAAAGAGCATTTAAATGGCATTAATTTATTGTAATCACAATATGATGTGGTACAGCCCCAAAGTCTTAATTCACTCTGCATCCCTGCCTAACATATAGTTAAGCCAACTAAACTATGCAAAATCATGATGCTTGTTGTCAAGTCATTGATGATGGATACACATTTGTACCAGCATTTTTATTTCTGCATAGTCAGGTGGTATGTGATTACTCAGTGGCTGGTTCCTTTAATAGACATAGTTGTGGAAATTACAATTAATACTTGAGTTTTTAGCATCTTTTTCTTATGTGTACAGTTTATAATTTAAATTAGTCCTAGAAGAATATTTGCTCAGTTTTGACTAGAAAAATTGTCTCAACATTGCTGAAGGATTGATTTCTCATCTGCAAAGAATGCATTTACTTGGAATGTTTTAACTACATAAAACAAAACTTTAAAGATTCAGCAAAGCAACACACACACACACACCATTTTGTTCTCTTGTATTTTTGTTCCTATAATCTGATGAATTAGTGAAATATGTGACAAGATTTTAACACACCTTTCACTTGTTTGCAAGTAAGAGATAAATTTGAAAAGTAAAGAAGGATGAAGTCCAAACTAAAAGTAAGATGTTATGTGGATTGTCATGACAAAGCTTTGCACAATGCACTGTTGCAGTCAGTGCATTTTTATGAGTCTGGCAGTTCTGCTGAAATAATCAACTGCTTCTTTAGGTAATATAGATAGGAATACTTTCCAAAGGTAATTTGGAATAATGATGTGCATGATTTTTAACTTATCCATGAAGAAAAATTGCTAAAATGCCAAAAAGATCCTAAAGACCTGACATAGCATTTCTACATTATGCTGATATGAAAACTGGCCCAATTTATTTGTGAATTTTGTAGGGCTTGGGATGGGGGCATGGAACACAGCAGCCATATGACCTTTGTTTGCATTTGAGAAACTGTTAATTTATATGGAAAACATTTCCAAAATGCTTATTGTATTCTAGACTTGCTTTTGGGAAATGTCTAGATGAATAATCCAAAAATTGTATTTATCAAGTTGAAAATTAATATACATGCATATAAAATGAACAGGTGAGGGTCCATTTCATTTTTATTTATTAAAAATTTTTAAATTGAAATATAATTATCACTTCTACCCTTTCTTTCTTCCCTACAACTCATCCCAAATCTCCTCCTTCCAACTCTTCATAAACCTCCAACTCCATTTCATATTGATATTTTCTTTTGTTTATTATTATTCTATATATATAAAGTCATGATTATTGAATACAACTTGCAGAGTTCTTTTAGTGGGACCTGGCTCACATCAATTTGTAACAGACAACACTTAACTGGATAACCAATCAGAGGTTCATCTTTAGGAGAATCTAATTTGCCCTATATCAGCCATCATTAGTTCTTTTTCATGGTGTGGGACATAATGAAATTCCTCACTTCTGTGTTAGCCTATCTATTGATATTTTCATTGTTTACATTCTGCTTAGGAAGCAGTATTGTTGAGGAATTATGGTTAGGCTGTCATATTGTTGAAGTATTATGGGGGTGACTTCCTTGTTATTGCTAGGAGACATGATCTCATAGCAGACTTCCTGGTCTTCTGGCTCTCACAATATTTCTGCTCTCTCTTCAGCAATGTTGTAGATCCACTGTGGCTGGGCTCACCCCATTCTGTTCATCTTTGCAATATTATAAACATATCAAGGCCATTTGGGGGACTAAAGGACACTTAGGGTACTTCTCTATGATATAGTAACTTTGTATATTGTTGTTTTGAGTTATACATACGACAAAAGTACGAGGGAAATGTGCTTGGAGATTTAAAATACATTTACACAGGTTCATTTTCATCCTCTCAAATAGAAAAGAATGCAAAAATCAATGTCTACATTCTATAATTCTGTTAATGGTGCAGACAACATACTATCATTTAATTATAAATCACATTTAATTGAAAAGTGCTTTTGATGTGATGCCCAAAGAAAAGGAAAAAACAAAGTCTGGAAAAAAGCAGCAGTCATGTGCATGAAATAAGAGTCATACTCCTTGCAGAGTAGCCAAAATTACCACACATGTGTAAACATCCCCAACAGCATCTGATTGGCAGACAGACACATCCTGGGAGATGGAGATAACATCTAGTACCTTAAATAATCTGTGTTTATAGAAACAAACAAGGAAGGAAGAAACATAAGACCTGTGCATCTTAACATACAATGTGTCAAGTTTTCACTCTTATAAAAAAAAAACAAAAAACAAACAAAAAAAATAATCAAACAAAACATACAATTTACCTAAGTGGAATAGGGCAGAGAGGGCTTTGCACTATAGTCAGAGTATATCAAAGACTGAACTTTTCTTCTTGTTTGGAAAGATGTGTTTTGGCATCTAGAGCCAGATTTGGACAGCCCGTGGATTCCTCATACTTTATCCCTATGCACAGGTGTGGGCAGTCTATGTTTTCAGCCTGGAGGAAACTTATATTTGGGGAATATGTTGTTGTAATTGTTCTCTTGTCAAGGTCCTGGAAATTTTCGGCCCTTCCTTCATGCCCTGGAGTGTTGAGCAGCTGGTTCTGCAGCTGTGAACAGACTGGGGTTCCTCTTCCTATAGGGCAGACATATATCTTGCTATAGGGATATGTAGATAAAGTGGGGTTTTTTTGTTTTGTTTTTCTTTTCTTTCATTGCCCAACTTTTTAAACATAAAATTCAAGGAAAATAATGCATCCCCTCCCCCTCCCTCCTCTCTCTCTCTCTCTCTCTCTCTCTCTCTCTCTCTCACCCACACACATACACGCACACACACACATCTTGCCATTTATACTAGTGCTTATAATTTATCTTCCTTGGAATATGACTATAAATCTGCTTTCCTCATGTGCTATGAAAGATTGCTTCATTTAATATGACCAGAAGTGCTGATAGCAAACTATTGTTTTTCTTATTTTTTTCATTTTTGTTATTTATTTTTTAAATTCCAATCCCAGTTCCTTTCACTCCTTTTCTCCCAATTCCCCCACTCTCCCTCTCCTTTCATTTGCCCCTTGGAGAAGGTAAAGCCTCCCCTAGGTCCAGTCATCTCCTTGAGACAGGACTAAGGCACCTCTCCACACCCACACCCATAAACATCAAGCTGCCTATTGTTCTCAGCACCGAGAATAGAACCTAAGTCAGATGATGTTTGCTTTGATTGTCTTTATACAACATCTGCCAATTCACTCCTGAACACACACACACACACACACACACACAGAGACACACACACACACACACACACACACACCACTCATCACAGGGCGTAGGCATTCCAAGAGCTTCAGGGTCACATGTAAATTCTGAAATCTAGTCTAATTCTTCTAAATATGTAGAATAAGCATGTAGTCACAGGACTGTAGGTCATATTTGTGAAAGAATAAACACAATTTGAAGTACAGCAGAAGTCCCACAGTATCAACTGCATGATTCTCAAAATACTTAAGCAGATGGAGTTTTGTGTGAATGACCTTTTCCTAAACATGAAGAAGATAATCTATTTGGAAGTCAATCATCATTTAACTTTACTGGGTTGTGTAACTCATATTCCAGTTGTTTATTGCTGAACCAAATCTAATATAATGACATTCACACACTAGGAAGTGATTGTCTCTTAAAAGAAATGGAGAAATACTTAGCACTTTCAGAAATATCATCATGATGATTTATTATGTCTGTAATTATTTGTCTTGATTGGTCATCTTAAGTCCTGTCATACAGAGTATGACAGCAAACAAAAGTGGTGAGGCACTAACAGGATTATTCTGCTCTGTTAGATGTGTGGTAGAAGACAAAAACTCAAAGGTGGCCTGGTTGAACCGCTCTGGCATCATCTTCGCTGGACATGACAAGTGGTCTCTGGACCCTCGGGTTGAGCTGGAGAAACGCCATTCTCTGGAATACAGCCTCCGAATCCAGAAGGTGGATGTCTACGATGAGGGATCATACACATGCTCTGTTCAGACACAGCATGAGCCCAAGACCTCCCAAGTTTACTTGATCGTGCAAGGTAAGAGATGAATGGTTCCTGGTACCCTCCTCTAGGCTCAGTTCAGAGGTGTGGTAAGCTGGAGGAAGAAAGACCGGAGGCGACTGTGGGAGGGAAGTGGTGAGAATTCCTGCTTTGAGATACTATAAAATTATTTACTTGTATTTTTCTATACGTTCAAATGGGTGGCATAAGATACACATAAAATTAGTCAAATTTCACTATGGCATGATAGAACTCATGGCATACTACAGGAAATCTAATGGAGGAAGAAATCATGTCTTACCAGCATAAAATTGTAGACACAATAAAGAAATGTTTGTAACACCCTCTAACTGTTGAAGAAAGAGAGAAGAAGCCAGGAACTGCTGTGAAAGGGAGATGCTCATACATTGTTTGAGAATAGCACTCCCGCCTCCTAGCCTCCTAGCACTGCTGGCCACAAAGCCCTGGTCCCCTGTCCTCAGATGAGTGCTTTCTACACACATCTTTGGGAAAATGTCATGAAATTACTTACCTATCCCATAATTATGCGAGATGGGATGGAGTGGTTGGCTTTCTGGTTGATCTAAATGAGGAACACCTAATAAACTGACATTTTTAAAACTCCTAAAAAGAGAGACAGAGACAGAGAGACAGAGAGAGAGAGAGAGAGAGAGAGAGAGAGAGAGAGAGAGAGAAATGAATGGAATAACAGAGTGAGCCATGAAGAGTGGCTGTGATGAACCAGATATTTGGTTTTCCTACTAGATGATTGATTATATATATATAAAAAATAACCAGAAGATTCATGTGCCAATCACCAGTGGTGTGTTCTTTTTTTAGCTTTGATTAAGAAAATATCCGGGAAAGCCACAGCTATCTTACCATAAGTATACACAATGTTTAAGTTCATAGGAAGTTCTTAAATATTTTGCAGAATTTAAGAAAGATTTTTAAAAAAAATATGTTTTCTCCCTAAAGAACACTATTATTTGTTTATGTACTAGTAAAAGATTTTTAGAAAAGTAAAAATCCCTAGGAGTCTTTTTCCCTTCTCACCTGGTTACCTTTCTTTGTGGCTTGAATCTTTATTTAATATGTTATTATAAGCCAGACTAATGAATGGCATCATAGGGGGAAATTTGTTTCTAGATTGGAGTTTCCCTAGGGCAGAACTGAGTCATGGTTTAACAGATTAAAAATTTAAAATAGCATACGTATATGCATTGCAAGGTACCTTCCTTGGGTCCCCTTTCTTTTGAAAACAAAGATGATTACTTACACAATTTCATTGCAAGCAAAATCAAAATGCCAGGAGTTTCCATCCATCTATCAGGAAAGGTCTAAGTACTGACAAATATTAAGACTGTATTCCTGCATTTTTTTATTCATAATTGTATGCAGATAAAACATGGTCTTAGTGTTTCTGTCAATATTCCAAATGTAATCAGTAGCGTGGTAAAGTTTGGCTGTAGCTACTATTAGTGTATTAGGGAACTGGCTATTGCAGCTATTAAACTATTGCTCTCTTAGGTCTTCTCAATAATAAGCTGAAACTGAGATAAAATGTATCAAGAGTTCATGTGGTACAAAGGTGCCTCAGTCCTGTGATTCCCTTGGTGGTCAAGCTGCAATGGCTGACATCTTCAAATTATTCCTCAGAAAAGGTATTTCTATGGTTAACAAAATTCCAAATATGAGCAGGTTTCCTAAAAGATTAGTGGAGAGCACTTGAGCCTAAGAGCAAGACATATTAGGGCTGAGAACTCAGGAAACTCACTTGATGTATAAATATATATAGAGATGTGTGAATGTGTAAATTTATTACTTTGATAACTCCTATAAAGTACAAAAAAGCACTAAGACATACAAACACATGCCTTTCTAGATATGCAGAATTTCTATTTGATTCAGTGGCATAGGGAAGACAAAATTAATTTATTAATAGTAAAGGGTCTTTAGAACAGATTTTACCTAATGGACAATTATAGTTTAATCTACATATTTCTGTATAATACATCATTCTTCAAAAAAATGCTTGATTGTAACATTACTATACAATTCATATATTGTATATAGTTCTCAACAAAATATTATTGACAATCTGAGCATAAGAAGGCTTGGTTTCAAAATGGAGAAACAGAATCATTCAGGGCAAATTACATGTTCAAGTTCAGCAGAGTGGTCATGAACTAGTTGACTGACAAGCAACTACTGGGTACATTTCCATTGAGCTAAAATATTTTTGTCATGACCTCAAGAATAACTATTTTAAAGGTTTATATTTAGGCCTAAGCCTTTACTAACAAATCTTCAAATTTATGTTCTTTTAAATTAAATTCATGAAAATACATTTTTAGAACTAGAACTCACTGAAATTAAGTTTTATTTAGTATTAAGAAACAAAAAAACAGCCTGTTAATGGACAATTATTGTTTATGCACTGTCTTGTGTAATTTAAATATTACCAGTAAGTAGACATGAATAACTTTATTAGGAGCAAAAGCTTAAATTCAATGTCAACAACAAACCTACTCAGAAGCACATTTATGTTTGTTCCGTGTATTATCATATTTCCATCCATCTTCAGCATGTTGCCTTGAAAGAGGAGATTAACAAAAAACAGAAGGGGACTGGAGTGGGAATGTTTCTTCCTTGAATCACAGAGAGGGGTTACTGGGGGATCCTAGCGTCTTTTGCATTCTTTCCTACAGATACAGAGATAATTGACTTAATGCATTTTGTACCATTAATACTTAGGTGATTTATAAAAGTTTAGGTTGTTTAAAAACTCTCCAGCATTTCTAGCTGGTATATTTGGGCAATGTCTAGAAAAATTAATTTGTAAATCACCAGGTGGTACCCAGGCTCCAGGTGTAAATGGCAAGTGTATCCCCAAAATTATAAGAATGTATGGAAGGAGGGAATGATGCTGCATGGATTCAACTAATTTCAGATGGCTGTTTTGTGACTACTAATATTCCAAAGCCTTACCTTGAACATGAGACAGGGAAATCAATGCTGAGTTACTTAAATGCCATGGCCTTCTAGGATCTTGAAGGTTGCCCACATAAAACACCCTAGAGAGATAATCTGTTCTTCCTAAACTATCTGTTTTCAGGTATCAAAACAAGTATGATACACTGGACTACTCTTCAAAACGTTCAACTTTATATATGTGCTAATATGCACAATGCCTTATTTTTCTCCTGTATATTATTCTTACTAGAAGCTATCTATCTATCTATCTATCTATCTATCTGTCTATCTATCATCTATTAGATTTTTACATATTCCCAGCATCATACTAGTGGCTTTTCAACATCTTCAGCACATTCTTTTTTAATTCATTGATTATTTATCACAGAAAATTTATTAGTTTATGAAGATAATTACATATAAAATATATTATGTTGAAAAATGATTCTATGTGGTTCAATAAACTATCTTTTTCTAAATGACAGCAATACAGCTTCCTTATATGGTACACAGGGTAAAATCTCACCTCAGCAAAAGCCTAAGTCAGCACTGATCTTTGAGGTCACTTGTGATTATTTGCTTATATATATTCTTTCTGAGGGATCCAAGGTTACTCAAATTTAAATGTGCATTTTGCTTAATAAATATAAGGCACCCCTATATAGCCTAATATTTAGTTTCTGTGCCTGATGCTTTATAGTGTCCAGGAGTAAAGATTAAGAACACAGGATATTTAATATCAATAAAATAAGAGGCAAATATTAATAAAATCTTTCTGCTACCAGTGTACACATTTCTTCTCTGAAGGTTACTCTTCTGTGGTTTCTAGGTCTTATGAATATGCTGCCAATGGAAGTACATGTACTAAGGCAACATAATTCATCTCTAGTTATGACTATTGCATAATTTGCAGTAAACTTAACCCTTCAATGTATTACATGTGTCAAAATGGTCTTGCCTGAGAGCCACACCCAGAGCAAGAGAATCAGAATCCCTAGGGTGGGTCAAGGCCTACATGTTCATTATCATTGCCTGTCATTCAGATGTACACAAGTCAAGAAATAGTATTCGATGGATCTTACCAATGGTATGGATTTACTACCTTCTGACAATTCATTTCCTGTGTGGCACATCAAATTATGTCTAAAAGTTTGCAGAATAAGTGTTAGAAGATTGTAATATAAAAGACTAAAAATAAACCTAAGTACATTGATGAATTGAGGTATCTTAACTATGAGAACAGTAGCCTCAAAAATGGGATATTTGTTTAGAAATCCCATGTGTATTTGGATATAAAAAAATAATGATAATATTTCTTAAATGTGAATGATATTTTTAGATACTAATTTACCATACATTATAAGTACCATGTGGTTTTCTATTTGTATATTGGCATCGCATGTTTCTTATATTGATGTCAGTGCCAAAGCAACTATTTCCAAGCTCAGTATTTTATGCTTTTTATGCTATTCTATCTTAGTTAACATTTAAAAATAAATAACCTTCTCTGAAAATACTAAAATTGGATAATCTTAATAAAACATGTTTGCATGTTAAAGTGTTTTCAAATAGATTAATAAATTTCACTATTTATGACTTAAATCACTCCCATGCCAGGTGGGAATGTGTACCTTATTATCAGGAAATTTACCCTCAATTAAAGCAATATAATTGTGAAAACTATTGAGAATGAAACACATGGTATGACCCAAATGTTTGATTTCCTATCACTGATAAGAAGCCACATTTTCTTTACTAAAAGTCTAGAGCACTCATCTGGACTTAGGAAACTCCAAATTCATTACTTTTGTTATGAACAGACCCTGAGCCTCATTTCTAGGATTTGAATCTTATGAAGCCTGTCTTACAGTTGGTTCTTTTTTATTAATTATAAACACTCAGCCTGAATTGTAGGCTTGTTACTAACTAGCTATTTTGTTTATTGTTTTTTATTATTTTACATATTGGTCCCAGTTCCCTCTCCTCCCCTACCTCCCTCTTTCCCTCCCTCCTTCGATGCCCTAACAGTTGGTTCTTTTAACCATCCTACTGCTGATCAA